ATATATATATATATATATAAAGCTCCGGAGGGCGTTGAGCGCATTGCGCTTTCGGAGTAATTCTCCGTTAATTCATTTCATGTCATGTCATACCTGTCACGTCTCGTCGCAGCCCTATTCCTTGTCCTATCGCCGCACCTTACACAGTTACACTAACATGCACTACACTTCCACATCGGTTGGTGGTCCCACCAGCCGGTGGGAGATACCTGGTTGGGGAAAACCCCTTTACCCGTCGGTAGGACGGTGCAGGATCTCGCCAGACATCGAGATCACCGCCGCCTGCGATAAAAAAAATAGTATCCTACACGTTCAGGACTAATGACCTGGGCTGTTCACGCGCCCGAAATTACCGATCAAAAAACTCGATCTTTATCGTGCCGATTCTGTCTATGCCATCCTAGGAATATGCTTGTGGTCTGAGAGCTGTGTGGTATTCGAGCCATCGCGAACCAAGCTCTTCTCCGCTGTGATAATCTGCCCCATCACAGTGAAAACTGACAGGCATTAATGTCAACCTGTGCATGTTTCTTAGGAGGAGAAAGAACTCGATGACGTAAACTGCTCCAAATAAACCCATCTTCAGCGTATTAAATTACGAGTCACGATTTCAAATGGGATTAGAAAGTGACATCGGTTCGGATTACCTGTTCATCTGGACTTCCACCCGCGTTGAAACATCTCACAAGGCCTCTGCTTTGAATCATGTCATCTCATGGTCACTTGACCCGTGTCACACGAGCATTGCGTTAACGCGCGTCGTAGATGAACACATGCGGAACGGCCAAAGCGCTCGAGTGCCGATAAGCATAAAATACAGTGTTAAATTTACGATGCGCGTCAATGCAAGGCTCGTGTGCAGGGCCCTGATCTACATAAAACAAAATACATTGCTAGAGGCTAATTGCAAACGAAGAAAATGTTGAAAATATTTGTGCTCTTGCCTAATCTAAAAAAATAAAAAAATAAAAACGACACACTGGCAGAAAATTATTGTAATATGTTTCGCAGTACGTGTAGCACTAGTTCTTTTTCCTTCCGTGATTTTGCAGTTTCTTCTGGGGCCCCTATGCAGCTCTGCCGGAACCGGATGGCATTAGAAAAATTTTCTTTTTTGGCCGCAGAAACACTTTGAGATGTGAACGATTAACACAGGACAGAAATAAAAACTGGAAATTCCTCCCAAAGATCAGTAATTTTTCAAGAATACGTTCTCTCTTAAATCGATAGAGATTATTACTTCAATGAGAAATTTGATTTGACGGCAACAACCATCACAAACAAAACATACAATATATCTCGAGATCTTCCACATGATCATCCACGGCCACTTCACTTAGTCACGACCGTTCATGATGCGACGATGACTGCCGGTCCCGAATAAAAGAAGAGTGATAGAAAGACGGTTTTCCTTCAGAACGGCCAATTTCACACAAAGGACAAGTCAAATGCACATTCTGATAAAACAAACCTAACTATAGAACTTTTTCTCCCCTAAAACTTTTGGTAGCTTTGACGTTCGACCTATGCTGTTCGACGACGCAATGATAGGAATGAGATCTGCTAAACAGTACAGTAAGAAACAAAAATCTTGCTGCCTGGAATTGTTTTAATATTAGCACAGTGAAAATATTTAAGGGCTTTTTTGTCACAGGCTAGTCTGATCGAATTTTTTATTGGAATTGAATGATTTAAATGGAGGTTTCATCACATGCTTTCTGTGTTAAACGGGCATTTTCTTCTAGGATATTTAGATTTCGTTTTATTGATGTTTCTATGTAAATAAAGTGTCTAAATGATAATTATAACTATTTCACGATGGTTTTTATTAAAAACTAATGTTTGAAATTTTATTGATGGATTAGAAGTTTGCTGATTGACTATATTTCCTTCCCTTAAGTAATATTTTAATACAGAAAAGTATATAAAAGTAATGTTTTCTTGATTTAATTATAATAACACTGTCACATTATTCTTTTATTTTTTCGTTCTAAGTAGCTACTAAGGTTGGATGTCCTAAATTTTCTATAGAATCCTAAAATTAATTATAAATCACCAAAATGATGGTACATTCAAAAATACCGCACAGAATATTGAATGTATCTAATTGGTCGAGAACACGTAATCACCTCCCATGCCCGCTTAATTTAGTACAAATTCCACTCGTTCGAGCGAGGCACTGAGGCAGGGTTAATGCTACTTGTTTTTTATAACGTGGCGCGTGAGGACCTACCTTCACGATTCCATATCTCAGGGAATTTCGAGACTTTCTCAGTGGTGCCGCATGATCGCGAGCTTATGAAGTAGTGCGATATCTATACAAATAGGGTCACGACCGAGAAAAACGCGAAATGCCATAAGAAAGTTCTACGCATGCCCCTGTTGGGCAATTGCAGCAAATACACATTTGAAAAAACTGCAAGTAATTCAAAAAGAATTCCCCAGGGCCGCCTTCTGCGCCCCTAGGTACATTCCTATTAAGAATTTACATTCGCGATTTATCAATGCCACTGGCGATTGATAATGTCAAATATATTGTGTCTAATTTTTTTGAAAAAGCAGCTGACTCGGAAAACTCCCTCATTTCCGAGATTGCCTCATGTCAACCCGATCAACGGGTGAAGTACAGGCAACCGAAGCACTTCCCGGAGTGAGAGTAATGTGAAACAGAGAGATGCGACTTGAAACATAAACTTGCATTTCTGCACAAACAATGCGCGCGCCAGTTTGCTTAAGTCAAATTTGACCTTATTTTTCTTCATGTTGCAGGATTGACCATAGATTCCCGGGAAGGGTCGAACGGAACCAGGTCGCACCGCAGTGGTACGTGAGCGTGCATTGAACTTTTCGTCCGTTCACAAAACTGCACAAAGAGAGCTTTGCCGGAAGAATCGGATAAGACAGGCTCTCACGCCTCACGTTATTAAAACCGAAGTATAGTCGCAAAAATGTGGTTCGCGAGATTTAACATGTAGTTTACCGCCGTCTATAAGCAGGTGAACACGTGCTTGTATTTTGTAGTGGCATTTAGAGGATTATTTTTATATCTTGGGGTGAGAATCCTACATTTATTTACAGTGTAAAGTGAATTGGCTTTTTTAAAAGGTTGGGGTTGGGTGAATATTATGTGTGATTAGCAGGGTTTTGAGAAAAAATTTACAATGTGTGTTGATAATGATGTGGAATTTATTAATGCATGCTTACCCGAATAAAGTGGCGTGATAATGCTTATATTTTACCTCTTATTTTACTATTCCAGCATTATATAATTAACAATGGTTGCGAAGAAACCTGTCCAACGCAAGGCAAGTATTGTGCCTCTTTTTTTTTCACATTTGTCTAAGAAATAAGGTGTTAGCTTGAAACCTATGAGATTTATAAATTATTTTATGAATTATATTATGAGCCTTTGAAACCTATGAACTGTTACCTAAGAAAAAAATGTTGTCTCAAAGAAAGCTGGAAGTTTTCAGTGCCAGCTATTTTGTTTGCTGAAGTTATTGTTTTTGTATAGGTGAAGGTGAAGAAGGGAGAATCAAAGATTCAGGAAGAAAACAAGGCTAAAGAATCAGAAAATGAAGTTACTAAAATGGAAGTGGATGAACCAGTAGAGGTTGCTGAGAAGGTGAGAACGATTTGTCTTTCACAGTTGTAATTGTTAACTGTTAGTGTTATAGTGGTCGAAGTTCAGATAAGTGTTTTTGTCATGGAGCAAATTCATGTTAGTGAATAAACTTTTGTTTTATAATGTCGAAATGACATTTCCTTGATTGTGAAGCCAAAAAATGCTTGAGAACTACAGATTCTGTTTTATCTGACTATATCCTATTAGTTATTATAACCTATATGATCTGAAGGAAATCTAAGCTGTGTGCTTAAATAATAAAGTGTAAGAAGAAAATGTGAGTGATATTTTTTGTATAAATACTATTTCTCCTGGTTCTTGATGTTTAAGGCAAGCAGTAGATACCTTGTAAAACATACTTTCAATATTAAGTATTATTAATTTAAGTATTCATAGTCTTTCTCATGTACTCCTTCGTATTTTTTAATTGATAGGTTTCATTAGAAAGAATCAAATATAAAATGAGGGTAGTTCAAGTGTACCTACCCTCAATAATGACTTGGTGCCCTGTTTTGAATAGAGACCAACAATTATATTTTGTCATGAACAACTATGAACTAGGGTTTGTTAATCACTGGAGTTCATGGGTGTGACAGGATTTGAACTGCTCTTGAGAGAGGATGCGATTGCTGTTGATAAAATGCCTGCATTTTATTAACCCTACTTCTCCAGTGAAGTTAGATGCTTACTTAATCACCTTTGTCTTACGAAACTTTAACTCCTAACTTGGCTTTTTGCAGTGGCAACCTGTTCCCCAACAAACGGGAGGTTGCAGCTCCATTGAATGAGAGGGTTGTGATTTCCATAATTTAAAGCATTAGTATGTAATAAAAATGTGTGAAATTCACTTAAATTAATTAAAACTAAAATTAATAAGTGTGTCTAATTAAACACTACTTACAGAATTTTATTTGTAGTAGTGTGTGTCAGGTACGTTCATCTTCTGTGTATATGGATATAGCTTTGATTTCCAGTGGGAATTTTTTATTGTGTAGTAGTTGTACATTGAGTAAATGTCTTGTAATAGTATTCACTCAAAACAAAACTAGGTTTTGAGAATATGATGATTGTCCTCCAGCATTTTGCATCAAGCACTATTGATTGGACATGTTTTACACTAGTTCATTGCACGATTATCAGGAGGTTCTGCAACATGCAACTCGGGTACTAGCCACAACTGGTTGTATCCACCTAATGTTATCTGATATAACATGATATTCTCATGTATTGTAGAAGTTGTAGCACCCTAAGGCCCTAAAGTAGGGTTCATATATGCCCATTTGGGTAGTGATCTCTTGATGAGTGATCACTTCATGTATTTTAAGGGCATGGGGCTTTCACAGCAGCTCGTGCAATGTTTCCTATTGAAATGTGCACTTTATCAGTTTCACAAGAATCTGCAGCTTTTACGAATCGTTGTTTGGTGATTCATGATCAGATGTCGAGACTAAATTAAAGCATGAACATGTTTGTGTGCCACTGTAGATGTCAATTTCGGTGGTTGTTCCTTTTTTTAAATCTCTTTTATAAACATATATACAGAGTAACATAAGCAATATAGACAAATGTATGTAATGTGTCAGTGAAAATGCTGTTTTTTTGACAACGTCACATTTTTGTCTACCGCCTGTCCATAAAAAACACTAGTGCCTAAATGTTTCATTGGATTTTTTCCAAATTTAATATTCCCTGATAGATTAGGACCAACTTGAGCCCCTGCAAATTTGAAAGAAATCTTAAAAGTTTGGGGGGACTTCAGACGAAGCTCTCGCATCATCATATTGACATTTATTGTAGGATTACATTGAAATACATTTACAAGATGCCATAGGACTGATTTTTATTGTTACTCTTGAATTTTTAAAAATTGCATAAGTTCCAAATTTTTGAACCTCCTTGTACAATGTATTGATGAGTAAGATTTGTTTTCTTCAAATAAAATTTTTTCTCCTCAATGTGTTCTTTAATTATTTTTGTACTTTTTTGTGTTGAAAATATTCGTTTTCATACCTTTTTGAGTGAAATATGGATAATATTAAACCAAGGTTTTCTCAAAAACTGCTCCAAAGCTTTTGTACGGAGTGTCGGAAATGCACTGAGTATTATGACATAAATGTCATTTGGTGTAAATTTTTAGGTTTTTCATAAATTACCCTTGCGTTTTCTCACATTAATATTTACATTATGAGCATTTGTTTTGCCATTATTGCATTTGTCAGTGAAAGTGCTTAAAATGATTCTTACAAAGTTTCACAGAAACTCAAAATAATTCTATGAAAATGACCTCAAAAGTGATTTTTTGAAAAACTAACAATTTTTAAAAAACAAATTTTTTTCATGGAACTTAGCTGTTGAGACCTGGTGTTTCTGTTCTGAGATATTCTTAGTAATATGTCCATTCTGGTATTAGGGCTAGTGAAAATTGAGAAATTATGAAAAAGTGTGTGTTTTTTGGCAAAACACTATTTCTTCAATATGAGTATAATGAAAGTAACATTAACCACTGTGTTAAATGATGTATTACTTTCTACAATATTGTTTGTAGAGTTAATTAATTTTGATATAATTGTATGGGCAGTATCGAAAGTTTTTGATGGTATAGTAACTGCATCGTTGCTTTGCATTTAATGCTGGGAAGCATGATACTAGTCATGTATGTCAGTTTTAGATATATTAATAATTTTATTGAGTTATTATTATTATGTAACGCAACTGTATCACATTTGCAAATCATCCTCTCAAGTGGGTTGGTGTGGAGAGGGGAGGGGAGGGGAGGGGTTGGAGGCCAAGTACACGAACTGTATGAGGCATGAGCGTTTTACTTTGTGTGGAGGGTGCTCAGAGTTCTTTCCGTAATCCCTTGGCGAGAGAGGCAACCAGTGTAATTGAGGAACTGGATCTCCAGCCCAGTGGAGCAAGGACTGAGGCAGGGCACACATGGATGGATAGGTATGAGGCCAAGTTAAGTCTATACCATGTTCAGGGAGCACCAAGGTTCTCTTCACTGGGAATGTCTCCAGAGGAGTGGTAGGCACCAATGTACACTAGTGGGTGGGTGGGGGGTGGGGAGCGTGGGGCAAAACTGAAGATGCTCGGAAGAATAGGAAATGAATTGGTGCAAGATAGTCTGTGCCATTCCCTAGACTCACTATTTGATTGTAATGAAGCACAATGTAAATACTTTTTCTTTAATTCATGTACCTGTTAATCTGAATTCTTAATTTTTCTTTGTCCTCAAAGGGCAAGCTGCATAAAGTCATCAAAAAGAAGAGGAAAATTAGGCAGAGGAGAAAAGGAAAGAAGCATAACGGCATGAAATTCCAAATACTAAGTCTCCTGGGAAACAAAGCTGATGGTTTGAAAGCGGAAGTGGAAAAAGGAGTCACCACAGATAGCACTGAGGAAAGTTTGGCTAAACTAGTGCAGAAAAAGAAAAATGTTCCGAAGAAGCTACTAAATGAAACATATCAGTGGGAAATTATGTTAACTGGTATTCCTAATAAGTAAGCAAAAAACTTTTCTGTACTTGAACTGATATTCAAGGTGTTAGAACTATTTTTTTTGGAATGATTCACAAACTGTCATGAGTAGGAGAAATAAAGGGTATAAGTTCACTTTTTAAAATATTTCAGGGGAGTATATTAAAGCTGCATCATCTTTATTCCAATTGAGATCATGAGATTGTGATCACGAAATGATATGATGATGAGATTATCATTATCATTATTATCATTATCATTATTATTATTATTATTATTATTATTATTATTTATTATTATTTTTCTCTCTCTCTCTCCTGAAAATGGACTTTTTGTCTTCTCCCTTTCGTTTGTATTCAGGGATTACAAAGAAAATGTTTCTTTTTTTTTGCGACAAGCAAAGTGCGTAATAACTTCACAATTTTGTAGTTTTAACACTTTAATTTCCCAAATTACACATACTCTGGTATTAATTGATTGCAAGGAACTGTCTTGAGTTTAGATCAAAAGGAAAAAACTGTTTTAAACTATGTTTCAGCTTTTATAAAGCCTTCATCAGGGCTATAACATAATGTGTCTCTCATTAACTAAGCAGAACTAATTTTACAATTGTCTCGTACTAGCCTTTATCACAATCTTGCGTACTTCTCTAGACTCTCCATTTTATTTCAGATTTACATCCCTTCTTAGAAAAACTAATAATTACTTATTTCCTTCCAAATGTGAACTTTTGTGTACTGATTTCATACTAATTTGACGATTAATATTTTCATGTTATACTATTGTGGAAATTAAAAACTAAAATTAAAACAAAACGTGATCTTTGAAAAAACTTGTGAATTTCTTGAAAAGAAAACAAAGGTTGTCCTTTCCTGGTGATCTCATATGCAATGTAAATACCATTTTCATCTTTGCATCCAACTTATTGGTATTTGCTAGCTCACATAAAATATTAATGTGCATCAAATTGACATTGTTTGGTTTAATTTCTTAACTCAATCTAGTAACAAACTAATTCATGTTAACTTGACTATTCATTAAACCTTTTTTGCAGTGAAATTACTTTTGTCTTAACTTGTTCCAAGTCTATGAGCGACTTCCTCATAGTCCATATACCGACACCTCCAACTCTCAAGTGATTCTCATTTTCAGTTCTTCTACCACATAAACAAAAATATTCTCACATCAAAAAAAAAAAACAAAAAAAAACAAACACACACACCATACTTTCCATCAAAGTTACTGTAAGTCTATTGACCTTCTACTTTGGTGGAGTGAACTGCATTCTGGCTGTCCAAAAAATGTATTATTCTTATTTTAATTAGTTGAAATACAACACTGCTTTTCCTCTCAAATTCAGTAGTAGCTGAAAATAACAATATATTTTTGCATTTCTTTCAAATTGTTTTTCATCTTAGAAAACAAATGACCAATGATGGACATTTTTCTACATTCAATATAAAAACATGTAATCTGTAATATATATTTGTCATTTGGACATTTATGTCTGTATTTTTTTAAAGGTGGAATGGCAATATTGAAGACCTAGCTACTGATTACAATCAGTTCAACTTGCAAGCATTTGCACTTAAAAGGGAGAATTGGGACCGCCAAATCTGTCAAGTTCTTCATTTGTATTTTAAAACTGAAGAAGATATGAAGGTTAGTATGACTATTCCATTTTTGAAATTAACACAAATAGCATTAAACTGTACATATGGTGAACACCAACCAAGATGGTATATCCCAAAACAAATATTGCGTTCTCTTGACACTTCCTCCCTGTTGGCCAATTACAATCATAGGAAGCGCTGTTGTTTACACTGGGAGTGTAAATACAATACAATTAACTAGGTAAATTTTCTTGTCTCTAAGATACTCAGAAATTTATCAAACATTTCCATTGCTAATGGTAATACCAATTATAAATTTTGTATCCTAACTTAATTATTATTATTATTATTTTTGATTGCCGTGCAGTATCACATTTATTTCCTTTGGTAGCTTCGTTGGTTAGAGAAAGTGGGCATGACCCTAGAGTCTCAGATTTGATCCCCGGTCAAAGTAACTAGCACTTTGAATGAATTTTTATAACATTTTTGTGTTCAATGTTTGGCTTAGGGGAAATATTCTGCCAAAATAAGTACACTACTAGATAATGTAATTTCTTGTTCAATAAAAAGTGATCCAGTGTAAGCAAAACAATGTAGTTTTCGTGAGAGCATAAGCTTTCGCAGCCAGAATCAGTGTTTAATTGGCTGTCCGGGTGATGCCGCGTCCATTGCGAAGGTACCCGTCCATGGCACCTTTGCCATGGAAGCGGCGTCACCCGGACAGTCAATTAAATAACGTAGTATTCATCTACACCTCATATTAATGAGGGGACATATGATTTATTAGTCATTTACTCCGGGCGCCATGTTGAACACAAGTACTGACTGCAATAAGCCAATTGCTGAAATAGCTGTAAGTAAATAGAACTGACTGATTGACTGCCCAGTGAATGCTGTTTTGGAGATTTTGTTGTGAGGCAACTTCTGATCATTTTATAAAGAAGTTAGCTCTGAATGAACTCTTTGCTGCCATTACTGTATGCCCATGACCAGATGTATTTCTATCACCTTATTACACTCATTTCACTTCCATTAAGCACCGTCTTGTATTTTCAAACTTTCAAATAAAATGGAAATTTGTAATTATCATTGTTATGTAAATTTGAAGTTTTTATGGAAGCAAAGGCTAGAAACTGTACAAGTTGCCAATAAGAGGGCATTTTGAACATTGTATTACATCTGGATCATTGTCAAACAGACCTCACTACTTACAGCAAAACAAACCTTGCAACCATACAACACAACAATTATTTTCCTTGGTATGTTTACAAATTGTTCATTGTCGAACTAGAATCATTAACAGTACTGATTTTGTTGGGAAAACAAATAAATTGTTAAAATTTGTGATTTTACAGATTTAAATAAAAGTTTTAATATAATAATGAGTGTGGGTATTGTTGCCTGTAGCTATGTTGAATAAGAAAAAATTGGGCATTTATGATTTAAGTCTTTTTGGCCTTCTTTGTTTAAATCTTCCTTTCTTACATAGTGTTTTTTTTCTTTCTAGAAAGCTGTATTTTCTGGTCCAAGAGAAGTTCTGGGAATAAAAGTTTCATTGAGGGTTAATCCAGTGAGGATGATATACATGTCTAATATACCTTATGACATTAATGAAGAAACTGCTATTGCAGAATTAAAGGAAGCTCTTGGATCAGGAGTCTACGACATCTACTTCCCGAGAAATAAAGATGGAAGACTGTTGGGACATGCTATTGCATATGTAATAGATGAAGCTACTCATGAGGTAACACAACTATTTAAGTACTCTTTGAAAGCCTAAATATTATTCAGTGAAATCTCAGTATAAAATACGTCATAAAATGATGCTATTTTTACCTCGTTGTGAAGTACAGTATATTATACCAAAGGAAAACTATAGTATTAAGTTATGGCAATAAAAACATAGACGTAGCATAGTAGTTTATGCAAATCGTTTATAAATCAAAGCTTTATTACATGAGTATATGTTTTGAAAACAAGCAATGTTAAGAGGGAGTTTTCAAATGTGTATAAATGCAATTAAGCAACATTAAAAATGAGTTGTATATGCTCTTGTTTTTGTCAATCATCTGGTGCTGTTAATATTTTTATGATAATTTTATTTCTATAGGAACTCCTGGGTGGTAAAACTTTGAACCTCTGGGAGAGAGAGCAGTGTTGTTGTTCAAAAGAAGACTTCTTTAAGAGATTTGTCTTAAATGTTGTTTCAGGGTGGTAAGTAATTTGTAATTCGTAAAATAGAACTGTAGAAAATTATTGTTAATGCAAGACTTGGAACAAATTTCAAAATCTTTTGAAATTAGTTTTGACAAAACTAGTTAATCTGCTTCATAGGGGCTAGTCCAACCACTGTGAAGCATTCTAAACACTACCACTGTTCTAATTCTTTTCCAATTCTGGTCACTGGGTAGTAATGCAGGAGTGTGTGTAGTGTGAGAAGCGTGTACATAGAGATGCTATCTGGCGGTCCTCTTGACATCTGACGGAATTATGTGTAAAGTAATAATGGAAGATTACTCCAAGTGAAGACAAGGAAACCAGGTTTAACGGAGGATTGCTGGGTAGTGTACTGCATGTAAGTGTAAGTGTATGATCCCCAATGCATTTGTCATGTCTTATACGGGGTTTCCCATGTGATTGTCATGCCTTGCGTGAGCCTTCTCTTGTGTTTGTCATCTCTTGCTTAGGGAATTCCTTCTGCAAGTACATTCGTCACTGTGACAGACGCGGACTATTCCTGACTGCACACAAAGGTTGCGAGCCTGCTCGTCGATTGAGTCTTCTCATTATCCAGGATTATTCTCATGGGATGTTTTACAGGGATAAACTAGAATTTAATTTAGATGAATATCTTTCTTTGTAAATTTTCACTATCATTTGTATTTATCTTGCAATACCCGCCAATGCTTCCTGTACTTCATAATGCATTTTTGTACCAGGTTCTGCAATAACAAGCTGGTTAATATTAGTTTCTTGTCATGCAATTAGTCCTTATCAGTGTCATGAGACGAACAAACTGTCTAATGTGTCTTAACTCTTTCCTTCTCCATTAAAGCAAGTTCTCTCTTGAAATGTCCAATAGAGTTGGTTTCACTATTACTTGGGCTGTTACTTGGGTGTTGGATGCATGTTTCCTCACGTTCATTCCACTACTCCGGGCATTAATATTTGTTATCTCTTGTAGCGACATCATACTTGTTTTTTCTGTGCCTTCACCATGTGATTTATTTTTCCACACATAATTTATATTCGTGGTTGTCCTTGCTTTATACACTATGTTTCTTTCGACATGCAAATTAACATACCGAATATTAGACTAAGATTTTTTCCTGTTTTCATCCTTTAAAAATCGGGAGTTGTCTTATATTTGTGTATGATGAAAAATTCGCATAAGAAGAAAATGCAATATCAACAGTTTTATGTTGTTCCTGGTGTAGTACATGTTATCTTCAGAAAGAAAAGTCATTTGTAATAGAAATTACTGTTTTTTATTATTATTATTGGATATGTTTATAATTGAAGTAATAAGATGTAGAATAATTTCCCCAGCCATTACGCAGAAGTGTTAGATAGGAATAAAGTTTTTCTTCACAGCAGTTAGTAGTGTTGCAACGGCTGTGACACTGACGAAGCCTTCCTCGAGGCCAACGAGAGAGACTCGTAGGTCACGAGCCTTCCTTTCCCATCCGTGTCGTAGAGTACTGCGACTTTACTAGTAGTTTGGTAGTTGTTTGTGCTTGGCGGTTGTGTTATGTAGCTGTGTGCTGATATATTAGTGTGGCAATGGCCGAGCATGTGAAGAAAAGAGGAAGTGTAGAAATTTCCAGAAAGGTGGAATGACGTAATAGTTATGACACAGACTTCAAATTGCGAGTAATTCATCTCGCTGAACAAACGAACAATAGTGAAGATGCACAATGTTATGCAATAAGTGAAGCAAATGTATGGCATTGGAGAGGTATGAAGGAACGCCTGAAATCTTGTAATTCCGCAAGGAAATGCTTCCGTGGACCACAAGTGGGGCGCCATCCTAAAATCGACGATGAAGTTGTCGAATTTGTAATAGAAAATCATAACAAGGGTTTCGGAGTTTCTATAAACAGGATTCACATGAAAGCAATAGAAGTAGCAAGAAGGAGAAACATTTTCAGGCAAATTGCGCCATCAACACAACCATTTGTTGAGCCAAATGAGGAATGCTGATGAGACCCCCGTATACTTTGACATGCCATCTAAGAATACAGTGGCTACAAAAGGGTGTAAATGATAGACCTCTGGAAACGAAAAAAAAAGGTGTGTTACGGTCATGCTGGGAGTCTTGGCAGATAGCAGAAAGTTAGCACCATTTGTTATCTTGAAAGGGAAGAATTTACCCAAAGAAAAACTACCAAGTGGAATAATTTTTAAACGCAATGAATCTGGGTGGATGACTGAAAGCTTAATGATTCTTGGCTTCAAGAAGTTTGAGACAAGCGACTGGGAGCTCTATTACAGCAGAGAGGATTGTTAATCCCTGATGCCCTTGGGGCCACCTTTCAGAAGAAGTGAAAAAGAAAGTTGCTAGTTTAAAAACAGAGTTAGTAGTGATACCAGGAGACATGACCTCGCAGTTGCAAGTCCTTGATGTGACTGAACAAAACTTTCAAGCACCAACTCAAGACTCCAATATGAAGAGTTGCTGTTATCAGGGAACTGCCCATTAACTCCTGGCGACATCAAAAAACCTTCAGTTGCACAGCTTGGCCAGTAGATTCTAACTGCATGGAGAACGATATCAACTCAATGCATAATAAAAGGTTTCAAAAAGTGCTGTGTAAGCAACAGTGTGGATGGCACCGAAGATGATTAAATGATGAATGTGGATGTGGTAAAATTGAACTTTAATTCTTGGTTTTGAATTCTGGGTTCAGATGCCACTTTGTAGCTTTTGTTGCCACCTGTCGATTATTGGATCAACTGTTCTGTTCCAGTTTCTAATTCCACTGTTTGACAGAATATGATAGCCCATATTAAAAATCAGCAGTTTCTTTTTCTTGTTTCTCTGTCCTTGCTGATTTAATTTTGAAATTTGCAAATTTATTTTTGTGAAGACCTTCATGCTGCCTCCTCAGAGTGTCGCACAGTAGTTTTGGACTTGATATTCCCCTAATATGCAGAAGTTGCTCATTTGATAGTCAAAACGATAATTCCAATTTCCTCGCTGTTTTTACACGACCATTCCTGCCATTTTCTTGCACTTTCCTATCATTCTCTATTAATGTAAGTTCTTCCTGACAATTACTTCTTTATACATGTTCTTTGTTCTTAGAAAAGATGCTTTCCATCATGTTACTCGAAAGATAATTTTTATTAGAACATGCATTTCTCCAAATGAAATTGTTAATTCTTCTGACATAATATCCTTAATTAATCGCTGTTACCAGGCTATGCTATCAAATTGTTATACTTTTACAGAACATAGAGAAATTGAAACTAATGTGGGTATCATTAAAATCATCAACATAAATCACTTCATGCAAGGTCTATATTTTTTAAAAATTGCAAACTACAAAAAAATTAACATGGCAAAACTGTAATTTTGATATTTTTTTGTTAAATGAAATGTGTTCCAAAAACTCGGTTCTTTAAAAAAGATGGGCATTTAAAAAAATGAATTGTTCAATATAATTTTGCATTTTCAAATTTGATTATTTGAATTTCTCATGTTTCATTTGTTAGTCTCCGGAGATACCAGATTGGAATACAACATTGCATTCTGGGCCGTGACGTGGCAGTTTGAAATCCTGAGAATTTCTTTTCACTGTTGGAAGATGTTATAGCTGTATGAAACAGTTTTAATTGTCGAATTTGTAATGATATTAGATTTAAAAGAATTAGTTGTCATGCCGAATGTTCTATGGTTTGTAATGAGTTTTACAAATAATAACTGGGATATGTTAATACAGGCAGAAATTGTGGTTTAATAAACCTTTCTAAACATCAAAAAGTATGTACTGTTTAGCACCAGTAGTTGATAACTTTTTTGTAATATTGTGTAATATAATATGAAAAAAACATACAATATTCATAGGTCATTCAATGGGTCTTAATGGTATACTCTGGTTATGTATTTTTGGGAGTGTGAACATTTTGGGTAAAGTGCCATTGTTATATTTCATTTTATTACAAGAGCCAAATAACTGGTAATCCTGCCTAATATCGTGAGCACGCAGAAGTTCTGCAACATGATGGGGCATGGACTCGACTAATGTCTGAAGTAGTGCTGGAGGTAATTGACACCAAGAATCCTGCAGGACAGTCCATAAACTCATAAGAGTATGAAGGTGTGGTGATCTCTTTTGATCAGCACGTTGCAAGACTCCCAGATATGCTCAATAATCTTCATGTCTGAGGATTTTGGTTGCCAGTGGAAGTGTTTAAATTGAGAAGAGTGTTCCTGGAGCCCCTCTGTAGCAATTCTGGATGTGTGGGCTATCGCATTGCCCTGCTTTAGTCCCATTGTCATTGCCCGAGTGGCCTTCAGCTCCGAAACACATTATTGATAATGTCTCATTGAAAGGTTCGTTTGCTGATGATTGTTGATGGCCCAGCAGTGAAATCTGCAGCAATTTTATGGAAGGGTAGCACTTCTGGCACATGAAATGATTTTTCCAGAGGTTTTGTTTTACCGAATTCCTGTTATTCACGATACATTTGTGAAATGGTTGTATGGGAAAATCCAAATTTCGTCGTGACCTCGGAGATTCTATTGCCATTGTAGCAGCAGTAACTGATCTTACAACTGTGCCAGAACTTACAACTGCGTGGTTGTCTTGTATAGTAGTGTAGGGCCTTTGCCGACTGGAACGCCATATTGTGATTGGTTCCAGATCTCTTTATTTCAGTGCGCAGAGCTGTACCAGTTTTTTTGTCTCTTCAGTGAACTGTGGTAAATGTTATAACTGCACTTAGCCGTTTGATTGAGGTTTCTATTGACCCTATGAATCTTTAACTAACATGTATGTTTAAGTTGGTCAACAAATGCAAGTTTTTACTGACCTACTCAGCTTTGTTCTTAGCTGACAAGGGCAACAAATTATAACTGTTGTTATGAACGAGGCTGAGTATATCAGAAAAACCTTGGAAAGATAAAATCGACTCTAAGATGATTGCTACATGACATTTTCATGAGCCAATAAAATCTAAGCAACATATTTCTTTATTATTAATGAATGTTCATAATGATAAAGGGTTACTTATTCATCAAAATACATTTTTTCTAGGCTGGGAAATATTGAAGTTTTAAAAGACCTTGAGCAAACACTGGATGCTTCAGATATTCAAGTCTCTGTTGATTTAAAGACCAAGAAGTTATATTTTCTTGATGAATCTTCTGTTGAGGTAAGTTCAAACAAAGTATTAATAGTAACTAACAAAAGTACTGATTCTAAAGTTTACATAATTGATACAATAAAATTTGTCTAAACCTGTACAGGCCAGAAACCTTCCTCTACTGTAAAATTTGTCCAGCTTGTGAAGTTAAATGTCATTTTACACAGCATAAAACGGAACCTGTCCAACATGGAAATGAAATGTTTTTTCATGTGCTACAGATGGAAAGTACTTCATAAAATGGAATTTCTGTGATTTAGCAAAGATACGCAAGATATTTTTAATGAAATGAATGCATCTGCAAGTGTGTTTAATTCTTTATCCCTGTATCACACGGTTAGTCGTGGTGGCTGCGCAGTGGAGAGTGCTTCAACTGTCAGCATAAAATTCAACCTTGGGGTCTCTTGTCTCTCATGGCGTAGGCCATACGGGAATTCTCTGCCTCAGGACTCATGTTGGAAGGTGAACATGCCTGACTTCTATTCATGCATCTTCTTGCCTACATCGAAAATCATAACCCCTCAGCCAGAGACTGCTTAAGGTCATGCGAGGGTATCAGAAAGTCATAGTACACTGGGCTGGAACATGTTTTGCGCTGAAAGTCAGTGACCTGTCTCACTGTAACCAATAGGCCATGAGGTAGTATGTATTTTTTTGAGTTTCAGATCTGGCATCTCACTACAAGTAAATCTCCAGATTCTTACACTACTCTCCTGGCTTTCGAAACACCAGAGAAGAAAAGTGCTGTAGATTTTTCTAGTCACTTGGAGGAAGATTATAATGCTTCTTTATCAATGGACAAACCAAGACCAGACAATCAAATGAATCGCTAACAATCAAATGCTGAAGCATCTTCTGTAAAAGCGTGTTTTTCTCCGCATATTCAATTAGGTTTGGGTCAAGCATCCATTCCTAGGATTTGGTGCGAAGCCACTGATACCCGGCTTCGGTGGCTCAGGGCATCTATTGATGTCAGTGCTGTGTCTCTGTCTGGGAGGTCCTAGGATTCGATTCCTGTTGGTGGCCAGATTTTTGATCCTAGTTGTGTAGCTCCATCGAAATCAGTTCCTGTCTGGAGGAGAATTTTAGTGGCAGACTGCTCTGACGGGTAGTTTTCTGTGTTTTCTCCTATCACCACCAGGTGAATGCTAGAGCAGTACTCTTAACAACCAGACCAAGAACTATTTTTGCTTCCTTGTCTTTCTCCTATCTCTACTCCTTACACACATGTACACTTACGTACGCTACTCTACCTAACATGTCAAGAGCATACCGGTGCCCAGTTGGTGATATACGTGGATGAGGAAAAGCCCGCAATCTGACATGTAGCCCAGCTCTGATCTCGTCATGTAGCAGAGAAAGATCACTGCCACCTTGAGATGAAAATATGCATTGCACATTGGGACTAATGACCTTAGTAGTTGATGTGCCCGGGAACACCAATCAATCAATCAATCACTGTTAGCCTCAGTATAACTATTTAAAGAAAAATACGATAGCAGTTTTGGAGAAAATTTTGAAAATGTCCCAGAGACTTCATGTAAAGTGCCCTAAAAACTGAAAGGACGTTTTTCAAAATCCCAGAGCTTCAAGGCGGACCAGGGTGACCGAGGAATATTCATTTTGGAAATAATGCTACGAGAGTCACAGCTTTCAAGAATGTGGGGGAAAAGGATAAAAAACACTTTTCAGTAAGAGATGTCCCCAAAAGTGTATTTGTGTTGAAATCTCGTATTCGATTTTCCGCAGCATTACATATTTATCTGCATACTATGCATATTACTCCATGTATACATATTCACCCGAGACACTAAAAATTAATTTTGCAAAAGAACAATTTTTTTGTTAAATACTAAATTTTCGAATATCTGACACTCCACTTGCTGGCCTTCAGGAGATATCAGATTCAAACGTAATGGTTTGAAAATTCTTTGAATTCCTTGTAATTGTAGAGAGATGTTATGGCTATATGAAATGCAGTTTTAGTTGCCGAATTTGTGTTGATGTATTGTGTTCTCCTCTCGCTCTCTCCTCTCTCTCTCCCTCTCTCTCCCTCTCCTCCTCTCTCTCCCTCTCTCTCCCTCCCCTCTCTCCCTCTCCCCTCTCTCTCCTCTCTCCCCTCTCTCTCCTCTCTCCCCCTCTCTCTCCCTCTCTCTCCCTCTCCTCTCTCTCCCTCTCCTCTCTCTCCCTCTCCTCTCTCTCCCTCTCCTCTCTCTCCCTCCCTCTCTCTCCTCCTCTCTCTGTCTCGCACGCATGCTACTCACTCTGTTGCCAGCTCTCTCCTAGTTAATGAAATGAGATGACGACAAGAACTTCTTCCTTTAAAGTTTCAAAATTTATATAAACAACATCAAATAAAGAAATACATTTAGTAATGTGAAACAATAGTTGACAATATTGCTAGTTGACAATATTGCCCATAGCTTTATCAAATTCCAGGAATTCAGTCAATGTTTGTTCAGGCTGTCCTTATGAAAAATATTTAATTATACTGAGGTCACAGTTTTCAGAGACTTCATCAATTGTTGAAAAGAACTAATGCCATTAAACCTCATTGTCTTTCTTTTAGGAAATTCTAAAGAATCCAAAATGTGTGTGTATCCTTTATGAGTTTTACTGTACTATAACAAAACATGGCATGAATGTTTTAATTCACATCAGCGTATAACAATGTAAAAGTCGTGCTAGTACAGTCAGTAAGTCATAATAATTTAAATTGTGTTGGAGCAATGGAAAATAAAATCAAAGTTGGAAATGTTGAATATCTTGAGCATAAGTTTGAGAGTCGCAATTTGATCTGCCCAGACTCTTCAGTCTTATTGATGACCGTCTACCCATGAAGGCTCTAAAGTAAATCTCATTTCTAGTTATGTTATAATTACAATTTTTTGTTTCCTTTCCAGAAAGTGCTAAAACTGTCCGGATTAGTAGTAAATGGACGGAAAATGCTTTTTAGTCGATCTGGCAGTGTCCGTTTTGTGATGAAGTGCATTACACGACAGTAAGTGTTTTCTCTTATTTTCTGTTGAAATTTTAATCCATTAATGCGAATATATTTTACCCCTTGATATTAATAATTTACATATGGGTAATTCCTGGCAAACTCAGCACAACCGCACACCCGATCATCTCAAATTTTTTATAAATGACAATAACATTGTTTGATATGTTACAAAGATTTTTTTGTCAAAGTTTCAGCCTTCTACAATAATAATTTTCTGTTTTACTCGCAATAGATTTGAAAAGGCGATTTAAGACATACTTAATTTTGTTTTACTCATAATGAGTCAATTTACCTTGCAAAATACATACATGCATCAAAGAATCGATTGATGGTGTTTTCAATTGTGAATTTTTAGTCTCGACTTGTCAAAATGGTGGCTTTTTGAAAAAAGTCAATTTTTTATAAAAAATTAAAAATTTCATGTTGCTCATTACATTATCAAACAACAATATAAGTATTTGTTTTTAGATATACTTTCATAACATTAAACATTTTTGGGGGGGAATTGTATTTGAAACCATTTTCATTGACTTAATTGAGTGCACATGGTTGTAGAGATACCTACTTTATTTTACTCATTTCTTTCGCTAAAATCATGGAAAACTACATATTGAATGAGAAATCATTGTGTGACATTTCAAACACACAATTTTGTTACATACTAGTTAAATTGGCGAATTTGCAAAAAAAGTAGAACAATGTGTAAATCATTTTAATTGAATTTATTCATAAATTATTTAAACAGTCTCCTGCGTTTAGGATGGAAAGTATATCGAACAAATAATTAAATTAAATTTTCCAGTAAATGGTCGGTCGTAGAAATAAGTGCCCAACATCAGTGATACACTGAAGTAGCATATAATTTTGGTACTTTAAAATTTTCTTATTAAAGTTCAGAATGAAAAATAGTGCGTTTATGAAAAATAACTGAGACAAGCCAGTTTCTGTAAAAAATAGATCATAATCATGTAAACCACAACTAATTTCCTTAATTCTTTAATTTTTGTTCTCTATTCTCTCAGGTTTTGATAAAAAAAATTAATTTTCTAGCCTCACTTGTGTACAGATTAATCAGTTTATTACTTTCTTGGTACAGAGTGGAGAGAAAGTTATATAATGCTGCACCAAAAATGGCGAATTTTTTGCAGAAAAAGTGGACAAATCCAGTTGCTCAATTTAGGGGGGGGGGGGAATCCTCTTAATATGTGGGTCTCCATGGTTTCCATGTTTTCTGGATCCTTGTTGCTGAAAAATCATATGAGGACAAAAAGTCTGTCTGTCCGTCCATCAGTGAACAACACTAGCTGCTAAACCGTTCTGCATATTTCCTCCAAAATTGATATTCCTCAATTGATATGGCCTATGTTGGGGCCCCTAGAATTTGTATCTGATATTTTAATTTTGGGGGGTACTTTACATGAAGCCCTTGGGATATTTTCCAAACTTCAGAAAAAGAGCTCTATTGTTTTTGATTAAATTTTGTTGTTGGATAGTGTAAAGGGTATTTAAGAGAATAGTGTAGGTCTCATGTGTGTTAAAAATTCTTTTTTTTTTTCTTTTTTTTTTTTTTTTTTTCTTTTTTTCAAAAATTGCGGAAGTTCTATATTTTTGCAGTCTTCCTACAATTAAAATATTGAACATAGAGATTCTTTTCCTTTAACGAAATCTGTCAGTAAAAATAGAATTTGAAATAAGGTCTCATACAATTTTTTGAAAATTTGTGTACTTATAGCATAATTTTGCGTGAAAATACGGCGGTGACAGTATGTGCTGTTTTAGCCCCACTAGTTTTTTTTTTTTTAAATATTACAGACTGGATAATTTTGTGATATTTTCTTTCATATCCAGACACTATGGAAATCCCATATTGTAATTGAAATGTGAGAAAAGGTAGTTATTTCGTTCTTAGTCATATTTGAAATAAGCAGCCTCACTTGCCAAAATCAACATTTTTTTCTCTTACTCAATATTTTCTGAATAGAAGGCAGTGATCTTGTGCTTCCCATAAGATCATCTCGGCTTCCCCCAATTTCTGTTTCCTTTACAAGTGTTCCTCATATCTTCAAAATGAAGAATTTAGCCCTGTCTGCTCCATCAGGAGATAGTGATCAGTACTCAACGTAATGTGCATTGATAGTTAATTTCAATGAAAAATTGGAAATAAAAGAACCCATTGAATTTGATGCTTCTTATTGTTATTGGGCATAAAAATAGTCTTCTAAACTGATAATTTTGACAAAACACGTAGTTGAAAATATGGTATCTGCAATCACCTTCAAGCTGACTATAGCAACAGGACTGTGAGATGTCTTACAGACATGTCAACTAATTTCAAAAGGAAAATTTAAAATTGGGGCATTGTCTTAAGGCAGTTCTTAAATTTTTTTGATTTCTGCTACCTATATTGCTCTTTCTTTTAAAGGAATGTTTTTAGTGTGTTCATTACTACTAAATGAACACACTAAATATGTTGAATAATTTTTGTCATAATTAAGTCTTTAATATTTGTAAATTTACAATTTTTAACAATCTCATGTATGTAAATCATTTGTTGTGTTAATTTACTTCTGCAGTATTTGTCTTTATTTTTATTTTCATGTTCATTGTTACTAAAACTTATGTTCCATTTTCAGAACTCCAAAATCTGAACTTTTGAAATTGGTGCAAAAAGTTCATGCATTTAATTTTCACTACAATGAGAACAGATGCAAAGCAACATTTGAGGTTCCAGCTGAGAAAGTAGAGGTATGTTATGAATCCTAGTTCAAGAATTTTGCATTTCTAAATCTAATTTAAGTTAAATTACCTCATTCCGTGAGTCTGTCATGCCTCTGTCAGTTTGAAATTTTCAATTTTTACAATTTTTGAGAATTTAGGGATATGAACGAAAATGAGACCTCCATCCCTTAAGAAACCTATACTCTTTTTGAGGTTATAATTTAATTAAATAAGTCAGTGCCATTTTGTGGGAAAAGGTGCTTAAAGAATTAAAAATTGCTTTTATTTCACACAAAATTACGTGAAAACTCAAATTTTCTGAAAATTGTGCTTTTTGCGTCTTTAAAAAAAGTCTCTTGTATGTTTAGAACAAGCAGCTGTAGCAGGGGGCTACTAAGTAGCCATGCATGACGTAGTCATCTTGGGATCTCCCCCATCCCCCCATTACTGCTATTTGCTGCGATGTCACAAGTCACTCCAATGTCACTCTGTTTTCTGGGAACATGTCTCTTCATTCACAAGATTTTATATATTTAGACTCCATCAAACATTGACTCATCACAGTTACATTATTGTATTGCACTTACTATTCTACTAGCAGTTTGGCCATCACTTGGAAAACACAAAATATGTAACTAAAAATTATAGGAAACTATTAACTTTTTTATAAAAAATCTCTTGTATATTTATTTAAAACTTGAAAAGGCAGCTTTAGCAGAAGCTATTAAGTAGGTATGCTGTTGTCGCACCACAACACTTGAAGATACTTCCTTCCTGACTGTGAGGCTTGTTTACTATTGTAATTGTTTTGGATGTGAAATGTGCTTGTTTAAATTTTGGGACTGCTTTATGTTGTACATTTATTTTAATATTTGGCATATATTATTCTATTAACACTTTCTAGGTGTGAGGGTGTGGTGCAATACAAAAACATGTTCAGTCACATGAGCGATTTTTTTTCATATTTTTGTTTTTAGATTCGAATTGTAGTTTGGTTAATCACTTAGAGATATTCATTAAACCACAAACTTGGGCTAGTTTGTTCCGGAATAATTTTAGTTATTATTCTTGTCCCTTGAACTGAGAGTTTCCATTTATTATAAGTGTATTTTTATAGCTAGAATACAAGAAAGTACTCTAAAAATTCCATTTAAAAAATATGATTATTTACATTGATAACTATGTTTAACATTTAGTTAGAAAGTTTAATTAAAAGTCATAAATTTTTAAAAACTATTGTTAACTTCAATTATACACACTGAATTGGCACTGAGGCCGCTGAAGCCCATATAGTTGGGGGAAGAATACATTTCACAGAGCGATTCAGTCTTTGTCTAACTAAGTTGTAATTGTGTTAAAATACATGCTTGGGTTGGTTTCTGTTTTTCTGTCATTACATTCTTAATTTTTGAGAAAACTTTTTAATGCAAAATTAATTTATAGACATTGTTAACATGTATCTGATTCAATATTATAGTTTAAGAATGGGTCCTGTACTTAATTTAAATTTTTAAATAAGTTTTTATAGATTATGCGATCCATTTTTATTGTTGCAGATGTGCAAAGCACTTCATCTCACGGAATTTCATGGAAGGAAAGTTGAAGTGTACGAGTGTGGTAGTGAAGAACTGAAGTCTGCTAAAGAAAGGAGCACGAAAAGGTTACTAGAATACGTTGTGGAAAATGATATTAAATTCAAGAAAGGACATAGATTACACAAGGTGGCTAAATTGTGGAGAGAAACAAGTGGTAGAAAAGTAAGCGGTAAAGGGAAAGAAGTGAAACTGAAGAAAAAGCTGCGAATAATGGAAAAGAAGCTTAATAAAGAGAAGAAAATAAAATGAAGACTCGAGAACATCATTGCAAGACAAAATTCAGAGAGATAGTAGTAGTTGAAAATGCAAAACATTTTTTGCACTTTGTGAAGAAAGTGTTGTTATTATCAAATAAATTCTAATGTTTCAAAAATAACTGTGTTTTAAATTTTGACCATTATTGAGATAATTGTGAATAAAATATTTGTATCAGAATATCAGAAAAGAATTTAAACAGAACTTTTTTTGCTTATCCAGAAATGTCGATTATGATCACTGTATAAATATCTAAATATAGATTTATGTTCATTATGTACAATAAAGCTGTTAGTAAATGTTTGTTAACTGTGTGCATTCAGTGCTTCAATGTCTCTCACTTTGGGTCATTGGAAGATTATTCGTTCTTATAAAAAAACATCTTTGTACAATTGATGTCCTGTTTTCATATGAGTGGCCAAAAATGATTCTATAAGTAGTTTCTCTTTAGGGTGATTAACATGTTCTTATTCATTATCAATGATTTTGACTCTCAATACTGGTTTTTAACTTGTGCAGGTCTCCCTACCCGTCTGCCCCATGTTTAATTTTAACTTTTTCACATACTACACACGTAGCATCTAGAGAGAGTCATTTTTTTGGGCAGAAAAATTTGTATTGTAAGTACCTGATACTGAAAAAGTGAATAATTTCCCTGTATGACTATTTCCTCTAAACTGTTCTGTAATGAGAACTCGTTTTGGTGGATCCTGGATGCCAAAAAAGAGGTCGACACCAAAATGTTTGTTAGTGTCTGTGTGTGAATGGTGCTAGCGGCTAAACTTTTAGAAGGATTTCCACCAAAATAGAAATTCCCCAGTATGTGGCTGATGTCACTAACCCTTGAATATGCCACCCATGCTTTTATTTTGGGGGGGGACTTTACATGGAGCTTGAAGGACCTTTTCCAATTTTTTGAACTTAACTTTGTTCTCTGATAGCATTAAGGACACAAAAATAATGGTGTATATCTGTTTTGTTGAAATTTTGAATATTGCTAAAGTGCAACATGTTTTTGATCTCCTCCTTCAGCTATAGAATTTAAGATCAAGGGTTTCCCACAAAATACATTTATTCTTCAGTGTGTTCTTATTGTTTAAAGGAGAATATGTACATTTTTTTCAAAATATTAAGTTTTTAAGTAATTTTAAAGCCTATTTTGATTTTGATTTATGTAATAAAAAAACTAGGTACAGTATGGGGGGAGAAAGTCATCTGTGCACATTTTCTTGGAACTCCAGAATCCCTTCCCAATATTTCAACTTCAAATAGTTGAAAAATAAATAAAAGATTAAAAAATGAAACAAGTAATAAGAATAACATTTTTAACACTGTGAAATTAGCAGCATTTGAAAAGCTAGACCTCTTTGTCTCGAGTTATAGAAAACATTTGCATTAGTAAGTGAACAGCAGATGTTTTTTCTTCATTGCGGGTTGGTGTAGAGCTTCCAGTGCTACTCCTACCATTAGAAGTAAAAAGACAGCTCATCAATATGTGTGCATAATGAAGCTACAATTATGGCCAGAAGGAAAACAAGGGGTCATCACAGCATTTGCACAATGGATCTGGGAAACGGCAAAAAACTAATTGAGATGGGAGTCATTGACTTTGATGCTGAAGTTCATTACTTGTTACAGGCATAATAATATTATCTTTAAAAAAAATTATAGGTACAGATCTAAAGTAATGTGTTTTATCTCACTGTTTTTCTTAAAATATGATTTTCTTTTGGTAATCAGTATAGTTTCTAATTGTATAGAAACTGTTATGCAGCAGAAAATATTTTACTTGTAAATATTTTTTACTGATTTTAATTGTTTAATATCATCTGGCAATGTGTAAAGTAACGTACATGTATTGTATAGGGATATCTTGTAGTGAGCTGTTAATACTGAAACTTTATCGTGAGTTCTACGATGTGTGTTGTAATTATAAATATCAGTTTTGCGTGAAAATATGTTCCCACCGTTAAGTAAGTCAGTTTTTCATGAAAATTACAGATCCGTAAATAAACAGGAAAGCCAATTGTAAAATTTTAAACTCAATGGAGAGATGCTTGCAGGGATCACGTGGATGTCATTTTTACTTTATCGTATACGTTCATAGTAATATATGTAAAAAGTATGTGTATATGTGTAAAAATATATGTAAAATGTATAAAGAAAGTTATGAAATTCTGCGAGATATCAATTTAGAGATTTCAACGGAAGTACACGTCTTGGGGTCCCCTGATACCAAAAAAGCGGTTTTTTTCCTTCTTCAAAACGTCCCTCCGTCCGTCAGTGAACGCCACTAACGCGAAAACTGCGCGTAGGATTTTTTCTTTCGCCCTACCGCGGCAGAAAGTTATGAAATTCTGCACGAGAAAGCGGCGAAGGGCCCTGGTAATGAAAAAATGGAAAAACCCAGTTTCCAAATTTAGAAAAAAAATCCTCATAACGTGGTTTAGCCAGAATCCATGTTTGTGGGTCCTTGATACGAAAAAGTCGATTGGCGCCAAAACGTCTGCCTGTGAACAACGCTAGCGGCTAAACCATTCGGCCTTTTTTCTCGAAAATTGATATTCCCCTGTCGGTCTAGTTAATGTCGCGCACCCTTGAATTTGAAATCGATATTTTAATTTCGGGCTACTTAACATGAAGCCCCCGGGACTTTTTCAATAAATAGCTCCATCGTTTTTAATTAAATTTTGTTGTTCGATAGACGTTTAAAGAGATTGGCGCAGGTCTCATTTTCGTCGAAAATTGAAAATATTTAAAAAAAATGTCGGCGTCATCCTACATGTAAAATATTAAAGATAAAGATATTTTCCCTTAAAATCTGTTCCTTAAAGATAGATTTTAAAATACGTATTAAAACGAGCGTATTTGGAATTTATTACAATACTATTATGTTTAATATGTACTATTATATATTTTCGATCTAGTTCCATTTGTTTGCCAACGCTATCTGAATTGTATTATTTATTAACTTTTAATTATTTTACTTTCTTGCGTACTGCTTGAGCAGGATAAGGCTCTCATAACTCTTCCGCTATGTTCGTAAGTACTCTACACTCCTAATACCAAGATTTCAATGCCAGAAAGATATTTTCTTTTAAAGGTTCGAATAAAAAATCTGGCTCAATTGTTTTCTCTAAATTTCTTGTAAGAATAGGGTTTAAACAAATTTTTGGTCCGGCGTAGGCCCGATTTTCACTTTTTTCTCTGAAATTTCAAAATTTTTGAACTTTGACGAGTTTCTGCGTCTTCCTACATCTACAATAGTATTGAAGATAGAATTAAATTTAAATGAAATTTGTGCTTTGCTGTTAAATATCTTCATTCACATATGTTTGGAAATTTTAGTAGTGTAATGGGACGGTCGCACATCGCGGATGACGACACGAGCAATATTTTCATTTTATTTAGTTAAGAGCCGCGCCGCCGTTAGGAGCAGCCTGAAATGCCGTTTCCGCTGTACCTGTGCAAGAGCCGCTTAGCGCGCCGGGGGAGAGGACGAAGATGTGCCTCCTTAGTTCAGCCGAGAAAGGCGGACGCACCCCTCATGACGTGTGGGGAAATACTCCGCCCACAACCCCTTTACCGAGCAACGGAATTACCCGCGCCTATTTCGGGGAATTTCGGTGACGAATATTACTGCGGGGGAGGTTGCTGGAGTCTTTTTCTCAAGTAGTTAGGCAAGCATGCATGCCTCCCTCTAGGGAGTCTGCCGACGAAGCAGCCGGGCAAAGCTGAATCGCCGAAGGAAGCAGGTAATCGGGGAGGCGGTGGTTACAGTAGTTTCCGAGCAATTTTGAGTGAAATCTGGGCAACATTATAAAATATCAAAAACAAACATTTCTCAAAGCGACTCCAATTTTTTTCTTTAAACTTTTGGTAGGGATAATTTTAAATATACCGTATAAAATGGCACAAACGACATTTTCCTTTATACTTTAATTTTCTTGAAAATTAGACAAATGTACTTTTTTTGGCATCTCTGTCACGATTTTGCTGCAAGAGAAATGTACAAATCAAGACCTGGGAAATTAAGGCAACAATTTTATTTTTTTCACAAAACGGCCGATAAATCTTGGGCAGATTTAGCATGTATCTTTAAACTCAATTTAGAAGGTTGGATTACCTCAATTCAGAAGGTTGGAAGGTTGGATCGGAATTTACTCTTTAGAAAACGAACTTTTCTTTATATGAGGAATTGTTTATTCAAAATAAAGCCAAAGCTCTAGGCTTGAAGATACTTCTGTAGTATAAGCAGCAGGTTTACGAATATTGGTTCTAGAGGCAAAAATTGACGCGCAGATTTTCCTGGTCATTGTTAAATGAATCTGCTGCGTTCGCTCTCTTTTGCCTCCGTCGGCGGAGCATTTTCCTTGATCATGCTTCCTCGCGAGGGGAGTCGCGCAGCACGAGTTTGTAGAGTCCCTACTTTATTATAGGGCCGATTTTGATTAGCTAACTCATTACCAAAAATGATCAATAAAATGCTCTTAAAATGTTTTAAAAACGCCCTTAAAGCGAAGACAAATGACGTAAGAAATGTGATCAATTCCAGCTCGTATGAACAACTCAAGCTGTTGGATGCGTTACTGATGTAATCAAGGCTTCTTCTGTTCGTTCAAATGAATGCAAACTTTTGGTTTGGACTGTTCTTTACCAGGAAATCTGTCTTTAGCTATCTCGAAATTGGCTGAACCGATGCTGATAGGCGTCACAGGAACCATAGGTTACATACAACGGCTAACATACAGTTTCTGAGCGAAGAAATCGAATAGGCACCTCACGATTCTGTGAAAAACATTTGTTGTATTTCGTTAATATTATTTGAAGCAAGTTCCATTAAAATTATATTAAAATCGCTGAAATCAGCGAAAAATGTTTTCAAAATTATGGAAAAGAAAATATAAGTCAAAATCAACGAAAAATGCAAAAAATAAACAAACAAAAAAATATCAAACTGGGTCATTTTGTTTTGTCATAACATAGAATTAATTGTCTAAACTAAACGGCATTGCTCTAAAGTGAAAAAAAGACATTTCATTAAAAACCGCCCCCTAGTGATAAAGCGTAAATGTATTGCGCCGAGTCGCTTCCACTGTCGTTCAGCGGGGGTTCGCGGGAACCGGTTGCTAAATTCTTTGTAGTTCAAATTCAGTTGTTAATTTTTTGTGACACCCAGAACCAATTGAAATTTATCACAATCAAGTTGTTAAAATTATTGTAGTTTTGAATAACTTTTAGTATTGGGACGATCTCTCTTGATTTGATCCTCTTGCTGATTGGAACGCGAATAATTTTGTGAAGTCCTCATTACGTCTTGGACACCATACGGTTGCTGACACACGCGTCAAATGAACTAACTATATGATCACTTTTGTAAGCTTCAGGTTTAATTGTTAAGTTCTGAAATTACTGTGAACATTAATCTGAAAAAGATGTTGCACTAAAATTTTTATTTTCTATGACTTCTTGGCTCTAGGGGTGACTCATGCAGCCAAGAAGTCATTCGACAAATCTCTAACGGGAGAACGTTTTCTTTACTATATTTATTGAACCATTTATTCTATTGAAATAAAAAATGAGAAATTGGAAATCATTGGAGAACCGGTTGTAAAAAAAACAATAAAAAAACAGGTATTTTAAAAAGAGGTTATCTCATAAGGAACACAATTGTTAAAAGTCTTCTTTTTGCAAAAATACACAATTAATATTATTTATGTAAATAATTTAGAGACAAGTGTTTTGAATTTTTCAGTTGAAAGGTACTTTTTAGGTAACTGAATAACCCTATTGCTCATGAATCTGCAATAATAGTTTATGCAATTAGTTTGTAATGTTAAGCTTTATTGCACGAGTACATATCTTGATAACGAGCGACTTTAGGAGAGAGTTTTCAAATTTGTACGAATGTAATCAAGCAACATTATAAACGAGTTTCATACAATATTTTTTTTATTTTTATTACAGCATTATTCATTTATAAGAGAATGAAACTTAATTTTGCGAAACAACTTCCATGTGACGACTCGGGTATTTGACATCGTGCGAGTTAACGGTGGTGGGCTGATCCGTTTAGCTCTACCTCCTCCCGATTCTCTCGCCGCGATTGGCTGAATGTGTGATGACGCAATCGTTCGTGACATAAAATCTAATACGTCATCATTTGTGCCGTAAAATTCCCGATTATGAACGATTTCTTGCAACAGAAATGATTCTTTTATAATGCTGGAATACAAAAAAAAAGTCTTATCTAACTTCGACTAAATTTTTCAAGGAAGCTACAAAACTAAAGCTCTCAGAGACTTTAGAAGAAATTTAGAGTTTAAATTCAAGCTTATTTTATGTCAGTTTCATACTTTATTATAATTATATTTATAAATAAAATATGACATTTTAAAATTAGGTGACATACAATTTTGCCTGAATATTGCAAATTATTGGTATACAAAAATTTGTTTTTACTTTCTCGTTACTGCTTACGCAGTATAGAGGAACTATTGTAATGCTGTATATTCAACTCTATTAAAATCAGGAAGAATGTATAATACAGAAACGCATAAGGTAATGATATCATCGTTTCGAATGCATTCATAATGCGATATATTTGATGTCCTTTAGCTCTGAATGTCCAATTTATAAGTGAAATTATCCTTGATTGTATATATGATGTGCTGTAAATAATGCGAGCAGTTACAAATAAAGCCAGAAAGTATGTGGTGTTGTAGTGAGCACTAGTTATAAAATGAAGCACGGAAGTATTATTTTTGGAACATGAAATTTTGTAAGGAAGTGAATTCGTAGACAATGAATCACATTTTCATAAATTTTGTGGGTTAGGACATAATTTATGCCATGACATTGCAGTTTCATGAGCGCAATTTCTTTTTTCAAAGCGCCAGCCCGGCTGTTGACTTTCGCAAGGTGGCAACCCTTCGTACAAGGAAACGCGGTGCCCTTCTCGGATTCTGCTGAATTTCGGCCGCGAGGCGGCGGGGTGGGACGGGGCGGGGTGGGGCGGGGCGGGCGGGGCGGGGCGGGGCGGGGCGGGGCGGGGCAGGGGCGGGGCGGGGGGGGCGGGGGGGGGGGGTGGGGGTGGGGGGCGGGTGCGGCGCGCGGCAGAGCAGAGCGAACGCGAAGGCGCGATGAAGCCCACCGCCTCCCTGCTGCTTCTGCTGGCGGCGGCGGCGGCTGCGACTGCCGCCCATCATGACGGTAAGATCTAGAGATGGCGATTATTAAATTATAATCGATTGATAAGTAATCGACAGTTTTTATTAGATTCATATGCGTTGATTAATCGTTCTAAATTAATCGATTAATCTTATAAAATCGATTAGTTTTTCACATGTTTTAAATAATGTTCATGTTTTAAATAAATAATCTCTTTACACCATGATAATGCGTATAATCGTTAATTTGTAAATTAATTAATCGTTTAGTAACTTACATTAAGAAAAAAAATGACGATAATGCGAATTATTCTCGGATTTTGAATAATCGTAAAAAGTAATCGATTGTTGCACTAAACGCAATTAAATCGCCCATCCCTAGCATTAATTTCCTTCTCAACAACAAAAGGAAGGTCCTCGGGTTAAAGGGACATAGAAGAGGGGGCAGAATCAGCTATGTTCCTAATATCGCCAGCAGTAGCCTAATAGCGGATCCAAACGAAATATTTCGGACAGAGAACGTTTTCATTCAGACTCAAAAAATATTTTGTGAAATATTTTTTTAAAAATAATCTCTTTCAATTATTTTTCTTGCAATACGAAGGACAAGAAAACGCCGTTCCGGCTGGCTGATATCGTTAGTGTCGAAGCTATGTCGTTCCGAAGGATCGCAGGTTTGAGTCCCGCCTCGGGCATGGTTGTATTTGTGTTTGTCATTTCACCCCCCTATCATCACCATATCATATGATCATATGTCACAGTTACCATACCGTTAAATGCAATAAAGGTCGCTAACGACCTAGGTGTTGATGCGACCTTAAATACACGCTCACAAAAAGTGGACGAGAATATTAATAATGGAAATACCGCTTTAAATGTGATGAGATCTTCATGACAATTAATTTTAATAATCGTGTAAACTTACAAAAAATACTGGTGCTATTGAGTGACGTAGACTCTTGTTCTAGTTAGTTGACCGCTCTTCAGACTGTGCTATCTTTTCCGATTTATCCCACCTTCTTCTCAGCTACCATTTTATCGGCGCCGTAAATATTTTTTAACGTTTTCTCTATTTTTAGAATCCCTTGTAGTAAAACTGAAATATGACCTAAGAAATATTACAAAAGAGCAAAATCTACTCTGTTTTTTTTAATTGAAAAATTTGGCGCCGATTTTTAAGAAAATGTTTGAGCGTTTCTGAAAATGCTCATTTTGAAGCTCATATTCACCCAAAAATTGATTTTTCGAGAAACTATAAGAAATCATTTGAAGCAATTGTAATCACAATTGCTATAAATTATAAGAAATGGCCGTAATGTAAATATTCACAAGAGAAATATTTCAAAAACCTTTTTAATTTTTAAAATCACAAAGAGTACATCAATGTGGCATTTGTGTCATGTTATTCAGTGTTTTTAGCACTACCCGCACTAGAAGTTTAAAATAAATATTTTAAGTAATTTATGTGAAAATGGAGTTTGAGCGTTTCTGAAATTGCGGATTTTCTAGTGTAATTTTCGAGAAACATCGTAAGAAATTTGTAGGCACATGTACTCAACAACGCCATAATGTAAACATTTTGCTGGTAAGGAAAATATGAAAATTGTGAGATAGAAGTCAAATTAATAATGCTACAACAACAAATATTTTCTATTATTGAATTTTCCAGTTTCCGAAAATGACGAGAGACCAACGAAATGAGACTTGCGCTTTTATTTTAATCGTCCCTATTTATTTGCGAAAGCAAGTTAAGAAAAAAATTGAGGTGATTAAAATTTTTTTTTTATTAATTGCCTTAATTTCAAATAAAATTACGCGAAAACTACTCATTTCTTCAAAAATTGTACAATGTCTTTTTTAAAGATCTGATTTTTTACACTTACTCAGTAGCAAATGCTGAGATGGCCCTTTGTTTTATTTCTGGAAATAAAGGTAGCTTCACTATGTGCACGTTTTGTTTAGCTCAGCTTTTGCTAGCGGTGGTAGAGCAGGGAGAGTATTATTTTTTGTTAGCAATACAAGAAAATTAGAATCTGCCGTTTGTTTACCGATCCAAATAAGTTTTCTATAACTCGGGAGCAAAAATGTCTAGTTTTCAAAAGTAGCTAACTTCGCTTTTTTTAACCTTTCATTCATCATTCAACTAGTTATTGTTAAAATGTATGGAAGAGATTCCTGAGCTCTAGCAAACATGCGAAAATGGTACTTCTCCCACGTACGTCTCATACTGTTTTGATGAACATCAGACGAGTTGTGTAAAACATGAAGAAAAAAAATTACAGTTTGAGAAAATCTTATTGGCTATCTTTGGAGTGAAATAGTGGCAATAGTGTTTTTGCTGTTCTTTAACTAAATAAATAAATAATATGGCTTAGGTCCTTTTGCCTTTAGAAATTTGTAATTTTGAAATTTGCAAAGGTTTAAAATTCCTTCGGCGTCTACCTAGATATTTTTTTTAACGACATCTATTCATCAAATTTACATCTTTAAATAATATCATGAAGATTGTTTGGAAAATATGAATAGTCTTCTCGAAAATTGGAGTAAAATAGAGGCAATTGTTTAAACACGCCTCTATTTCACTCCAAAGATTGCCAATAAGATTTTATGAAACTGCTATTTTTTTCTTAATTTTTAGTCGCCTCGTCTAATGTTCATCAAAACCTCAAAACAACGACTTCCGAATTCATCTTTCTTTTCAACCGTCGTCCTGCCGGGAGGGTGGTTGTGCATGAGCACTTGGCGCGTTGCGGCGCAGGGGGCCCTGGCCCGTGGCTGCCGTCGGAGGGCGCTGCGCTCGCGGGGGGCTGCTCTCCGCCGCCCAAGGCCGCAGGTGAGACCCACGACGCATTTTCATGTATTAGTTATTTACCCACCGAGGGCGTTATAGGGTTCTAATGATCGAACGGCAACAAAAAGGTGGTCGAGTGGCGACTCGATCATTAGATCCAGTTAACGCTCGTGGTACATAACAGAATTTATTTATTTTTATTAAATTCTAATGATTCAGATTCACATTTTTACTAATTAACTAGATGTTAACTTGACCCGGTTTGCTTTTTCATATTTCCCTCCCATAATTCCCTCAACAAGAGAACGTGTGGCTTCATTTATCGACTATTTTCAAATTTCCATCGTAACCACGAACATCTCGAATATCGAGTTCTGCATTGAGGCAAAAGCAAGCAATTACGTATCAATAAAGAAATAATTTATAATTTTGTTGTTAAATATTTTGTGGCTTAAAAATAAGTAGAAAACATTTTGGGGGATTATTTCATAATCTAGGGGGAAAATGTCATCTTCTTGGTGGAATAAAAACATTACAGTCTGACAACACTGCCAGAGGCGTACACAGGCTCGCCACCCTGACAATTACCAAAGAAGTCCCACAGCCCTAGGTAGTAAAACATTTTAATTCCGTAAATATGATTACTTCCTAATTATTCCTTTTTTAAACTGACACTTTGGGTAGTTAAAACACGTTTGGAAGAAAAAAGCAGCCAGCTTTGTAAATGGATTGGCATAAAGTAAATTGTATTCATTACCTTTAAAGTATTAGAGGTAAATCATTCAAGTTATAATGTTATTTTTCTTAAAGTATGTTTTAATTATTTTTATTGGTAAACTATTCAATGGAAAAGAGGGCTGAGAGAGGTCTCAGAGATGTAGTAGCTCTTGTTTGACGCTACGCGCGCCTGTGCACAATGGCCGACACCATACTTTTCTAGATAGTGAAAACGCCAGATGCTCTTATGAACGACGAGAGAGGAGGTCCTCGTGGCGCACCGCCACTGGGCCTTCGCGTTGGCCCACGCATCTCGCGCCGCCCACCTTGATTTGGTTCACTAAGAGAAGTCCTGGATTAGTTTATACACTTTAATAAAAAATCTAAATATTACAATGTGCGAAGTATATAGAATAATATTTTTAATATTAAATAATAGGACGTTAGCAAGTTTTATAATCACATATGATTTCTTGAATTTTTCAGTGGAAGCTATCCTCAACGAAACCCGTATTCGATTTTATTATGGGTAAGTACAGAGCAGACTGGGTATTAATAATAAATGGGTTGCGTTTTAATGTCTTAAAACTCCTCTGTATAAACAACGGTATTTTAAACATAATTCTAATTTGTTTCGATTAAATTTGAAGAAATGTCATAATTCGAAGAAATGTTTCAATTTTTCCTAGGAACCTATTTTTAAAACATTTTAAAATCTAGTTCTTTTGCTATAAAATAAGTGTATAAATACAATGGTGGCATTGCAAGCTTACATAAACAAATTTGTGAATACTGATATTTGTAAACTGTTTTAAATAGGTTTAGGACCCCGTTTCAAAGTTCCCTAGTTTACTCCTACGTTTACCATTGTCTCTGGTAGCTCAATAATTTGATGAAATATAGATGACACCAAATAAAATGCTAGGGTCAATCAGTTATAAATAAATAAAAAATATGGACCTATAAGTTACAATTAACCTAATTAATCAAAAGACAAACTGAACAGTAGAAGAAGTGATAATCAATTATTAATCCTGTAAATATAGCATATGTATGTTTTTTAAAAGTTTGATTTTTTAGGAAGCTCAAAAATCTTCAGTTTCTATTTCTTATAAAAATATTTTTTGTTTGGAGTGTGCTAAATTATATCACAAATGTTAGAAATCGAGTTACTGTAGTGTCTTCGGCTGTAGACGTAAGACTGCAAGGTACCTCCTTTGATAATGAAGGGGGTCTTTTTTTGTATCGAGATTTGTAGTTCTTGGATTTAAAACTGTACAAATACTGAGACTATATCCAGATACCTCTGCAGTCGTCGGATTATTGTTTTCAAACTGAATAAAATTTAAATACATTATTTTCACCTTGATTACCTCTAGTTTGTTTCTGGTCCAGTCTTTTGCGTTTGGTTGGCCATTTGTTGAAAAAATGTCAGGTGAAAATAATGGGGGCACTGCAATTGTTATTTAAAAACGGTACCAAGACCTTTGACCATCAACCCTTGCTAGAGAACGTCGAGAGTAATAACAATCTTTAACTCCTGAAAGTGTTTATTTTGAATAACTAGAAATAACAAGAAACATTGTATGCTACACGTTCTCTATTAATCTTGAGGGACTCAGCCGAAGGTTAATTACGCGGCTCCGCTGTGGCTACGCCTCGCAGCCTCGTCCTTCAAGACTAATTTAGCGGACTTGTTACATAAATAACTATTATTTCACCACATCTGTCTTTCTCATTTTTAGCAACACGACTCATGACTACAGCGAACTCCCGCTTGATCAGATGCACAAACTGGCGAACAACTCAAAGTGGCGACTCGATCGCTGCGCCACTCTCTACATCTTCGACTACTCGGACACCGCTGACTCGCACCGCACAAGAAACGTCATGCTCGGTGAGTCAGCGCTTCCACGTTCTCCCTTACTATGCAAGAAGAGAAAATATTGTAGTGCGCCGGAAAATGGTGATTTTTGACTGCAAATCTCTCATTGCCGGGCCCTGGTTCCGAAAACTTGGATTAATCTTTTTCCTGTTAGTAGTAAATTACTTCCTCTAACCTGACCTGGTAATAAAAAGTCAGGAAGGGGTCCACGTGGTCGATGTGACTGTCCGCCACGAGGATGGGTCTAGCCTTCTGAAAGCAGGGGAGGAAAAGGTGGTAAAATACCAACCAGTCATCCCCCTGGCAGCCCAACTTCATGGAGTACCCAACGCCAGAATCCTGCCAGTGGTGGTCTGGGGCTATGCCAAGATTTACAGTCAGTGCCCTCAAGACCCTGGGGATCACGTCTCGAGGCGATGCACTGACTATCTCGTTAATTGCTCTCAGAAGCTCTATTAATTTTTACACACAATTTGTAAATTACGATGGAGCAATTTAGAATTGCTGGTAGTAAATGCAGGAAAGAAACTTCAATGACCTGTGGGGAAGTCTAGGGAACCCATTGGATCCTAAAATGCCTAGGAATTACCCACGACTAAGTGGGAAATGTATGCTATAGAAAAATTTGTAGCATATAGAAAATTGTGTAGTCAGAATCCATGCCTGCGCCAGAACCCTTGGTGCAGAAAAGTCGACGGCCAAAACGTCTGTCTGCCCGCCCTGCTGCTGGATTGGACGGCAGCGACGGTGAGAGGGGGGCACCAGGGGGGAGGGGTACGGGCAGATTTTGTTATGTGACATGATATTATTTCTGTTTTGTGTTCTGAAATGTTGTGGGTATAAATTGTATTATAAGATTTGTGACTGCTATGTCGAGTATGTCTGGACTTTTGTTTGAATCATGGGGAAATAAATGGGTTTGTAATAATGTATGTTGAGATTCAAGTTCATTTTGATGTTGTATAAATAAAAACAGTGGGAAAATCGACATCCCCACGAGATGTGTTTAGAGGTTAGGTCACCTACAATAATGAATAAACCTGGTATGCTTGGAAATGTTGCTCTTATTGATTTTGGAGTTTTATTTGCACACCGCATTGTTGATGATATGTTATTACAATGAAGGTAAGATGGGCGCGGCTTGGCGCAGGGTACGTGGGCGCGCGGCGGCCGGCGAACGCGATGTTGCTGCTGGGGTGGGCGGCGGGGCGGCCGTACGCGCGGGCAGCGGCTGCGCTGGCGCCGGTGGCGCGCGCCGTGGCCGCCGCGCTGCGCGCCCTGCCCTCCGCGCCGTGCCACGTGGCGGGGCACGGCCTGGGCGCGCACCTCGCCGGGCACGTGGCGCGCCGCCTGCCCGCGCCGCCGCCGCTCGTCGTCGGTGAGTCTTCCCTGCTGCTGCTCCCCTCTCTCGCTCTGCCTGAACCAGCCAAATCACAGCCCCTTCACGGCCGCACAGTGTGAAATACCCGAGCGCCCGCCTTCCTCGCACGCTCCAGCCCCGAAGAAGACCACGATGATGGTTGTAATGTTGCTATCACTGTCCACGACGCGGCGTCGCCCAGACAGTCGAGAACCTTGACTAACCACACAAACCTACAATTGCAGAAAACACGCATTGGGGTGCCCTGTTACCGAAAATGTGGTTAAATATTATTACTATTTGTAGTAAAGTAACCCGACGTGTTCTCGGAATCCCCTTTTTCTGGTCCATGATATCGAAAAAAGCTTACGACAAATCGTCTAACCGTTCGTCTGTGGTCAAAGCTAGATCCTTGGGGTGGTGTCTTTTTATGAAGACATTATTTTTATTCATTTCTTTTTTCAAAAATGGCTGCAATATCTTATACTAACAGTTTTCTTCGAATACAGGAAACAAGGCTTTACAAATGACGCAAGTTGCACTTTCGTTCATGCCTCTAAACTCTCAAGAATTTATCTCATTTTCAAGTTCAAACTTTTTTCGGCGGTTTCCAACAAGTACACCATTGAAGATAGTGATTTTTTCGAAACAAAAACTGTTCTTCGTAGACAAAATTAGATCTGAAAATAGCTTGGGCCTAGCCAGAGAGGGTAGGGGGCTGTACGAGATCTTACACGGGATCGATGTTACCCCTCATTGCCCAAACAACATTTTCGGTTGCCCAGGCAGAAATAGATTTACAAGATGTAGCGTGTATTCATTTGGGATGCGGATGACGAGAAGGTCGAAAAATGATAATTTCCGCTGCTTTCGTCGCTAGTGTATGTAAAGGAGTTACAAAAGTACATATTTTATGTTCTTATTTGTAATTTTCCTATATAGGAGACTTATAACGACCGGCTGCTCTGATCGGTAGTTCACTGTGGTGTCTCCGATTCACCCCAAGCGAATGCGGGAGCAGTCCTAACAGTTGACCTATCCTCTTCCGCGAGTGGTCGGGAGCCGAGGGGCTGAGGCCGGGCGCGGGTCGGTGGCGCAGGGCTGGACCCGGCGGGCCCGCTGTTCCACCCTGCGCGCGTGCAGTGCGTGCGGCCGCTGGGGCGCGGCGACGGGCGCTGCGTGCTGGTGCTGCACTCGCTGGTGGGCGCGCGCGTGGGCGGGCCGGGCCCCGCGGGCGACGTGGACGTCTTCCTCAACGGTGCGCGCCGCCGCCAGCCCGCCTGCGACTGGACGCCCGCGCCCGGTACGCCATGCTTCACTCACTCCTGATACTAAATTCGTGCACAGCAAACCTAAATTGTCTGGGTTCGAGGTAATTATTTGATAATTAAGATGTAACTGAAAACAAAGTTAAATAACGTTAAAATAATAACCATAATAATAATAATAACAATAAATTTAATAATAATAACAACAACAATAATAATAATAATAATAATAATAATAATAATAATAATAATAATAATAATAATAATAATAAAGCTGATTAGCATCTTATGCTAGGCAAATATCAAAATCAGATTTACCCCCAGATTTTGAGACACATTAGTTTCGACAAAATTTTTTAATGCAATGCAACTTGGAATACAAACTTTACGAGTACCATCGCCATTTCTTTCTTGTTTTCAAGTTGCACGAAATCGCTTCCTCAAGCTTGCGAAAATTATTTTTGATAAAGCTTGCAAAATGCATATCAGATCGGAATGGCCAAAAGGATATAATTTCTGCTGGTACACCTAGTAAGACACACGCGCTTCAGATATGGGTCTGCCTAACTTTAAATGAAGCAATAAATGATCGGAACCACGGGATGTCAAATTACAAATTTGGAAAATCTTCACATTCTCATAATAAAAAAAACCTAATTTAAACTTTACACCAGTCGATTATTGGTAATAAACAAGTAGCTTTCAGAAGGGCCGTTGTTTTGTAATAAAAAAATGATTTGGGGGGGGGGGTCCCTTAAATCCGCGGACCCCAGTTTATTTCACCTCCCGGGCCGGAGGTGATTACGCCATGGCAGTGGGTCTATAGCGCTT